TGCACCCCCACCTCCTCTGCACCCCGTCACTCTGCCAAGGATGCGGCACTTTGGCACGTAGCTTATAACGACCCCTGCTCCACTCTGGCAGCCCTTGCACAGGGACTCACACCGTTCCCACTACTTTCATGATCTCCAGGACAGCGGTTAGCTCAGTTTGTCCATATACCTCCTTACTTCAGCTCACGATCCTCCAAAGAAACACAACAGACACACTTAAAATATTGCAAAGAACAGAGCAGTAACAGCGGTAACACAGAGCATATGCAGGAAGACCCTGGATGTTTTTTCTACCCCCAAGTACATGAAGTCAGTGAAGGAAAGGCTGGGGTAGTGAGACATGCTACTGCTGCTCTTTGGAGAAAAGCATTCCCTGATCCATGGACAATTTACACATTCATAAACTACTCATACTGCAGAATACAGAAAAGCTTCTGCTCAGAAACTGCTGAGCAGTTTCCCTGTCAGTGATAGTCTACAACTTTCCCACACATCCTCCTCCTGTACCCAAAAAAAGTGTGACAAGAACATCCTGAAGTTACCCCCGCTGTGCAGGCAGTAGCAGGGCACTGGTTTCACCTCCCAGAAAACACATTCAACGCCACCTCTTGATTCCACACGTCAGAGCTCCACGTCGGGTGATGCAAACTACTGGAAAAACTGCCCAGGAACGCACATTTCTGGCAGGCTTTCAGGATTTTCCTGCTGTGCTCGGAACTGCTCCCAGCACTCTCCGGGGCAACACAAAGCATATTTGATGGCCTTCTCAATGACTGGATACATCACCAGAAAACAGTGCACAACCCAAACCTGTTGTGCTTTCACTGTTCAACCGAGCAGCCAGTATTCTCTCATGTTTAATCTTGGACTCCCAAGAATCAACACGCTTTTATACCTGCTGGCTGGCACTCTCTGCCTCCGTGAGATGGTGAGTTAGGATGGGACTAGATTCTGCTAATTGAGAAGAATCAATGTTTCCTGTAAACCTTCACTTCACCATACCCTTTGACCTGAGAAAGGAATATATAGCAATTCCACAGCTTTGATACACCTAAGATGCTGTAGCTCTAGTAGAAACTCTCACAAATAGTTTATTAATAATCTGTATCATCACAGTGCCCCTAAACTCCATTACACTATCACTGTACACACAGAAAACAAAATTGCTGTCCTACTGATTTGGGGGGGGGGGACGGACACATGACACAGCCTGACAGCTTTACAGTAAGTGGGAATTCCTTGTGGTCTAAGAATAATATTAAACTGGCTTCACAGGATCACCAGATGAACTCGCCTTGACACGTGGCTTAATTTGTCTGGAAGCAGTACAGACCGGAGTAGTTCTGATGCGGTCACTAATTTAGTAACACCATCCATTTCAAACTTCACCACTCCCACACCAAGGTAGCAAAAGACCAGTTTGCAACAAAGAGTCCTTGTTATTAAAGGAATCCCAAGTCCTTATCAAAGAACATGATCCAGCATCCCCCACCTAACCCCTGCATATTTTCAAGGCATGAAGATTGCTAAAAAGAGCCAAGCAAGGTTGTCGGGAAGACTTCAAACTGCTACATAAGAAAACAGAGGATACACACCAAACCCCCATCCCGCCTTGCATAACTCACCCAGTATTTCTCAACAGCAGGACCAGCACAGATACGCACTCGCACTTACTATTGCATCAGGATAATTAAACTATTAAAATAACAGACAACAGTAATTTCCATACAAGGAGTTCTTTGTGCAAACTTTCAAAGCCTCCGTGACAGATTTTAACACCTCTTCAAACTGCTAAAGCCATTCACAGACAGGTAAAAAGGCATAGGATTGATACAGCAGATGTCAAAGATGATGCATAAAATCAATCGAGGGGTAAAAGTGTCACATATCGCAGTTCTTTGCTCCTTCCATCCACCATACAGAAAAGCAAAAATACTTCAGAAGATACCATACCAACATGGGAAAATTAAAGGCAAGTTGAACTGAAATGCAGCTCGAATAGTTTACAACTTGTTTAAGAATCATCTAATAAAAAAAAAATACAATTTGACGCAGCTATTTTAATCATTCTGGCCTATCCCAAAAAAAATCCAGTGTTTGTTAACAACAGAAAAGAGCATGTGAAAACCCAGATGTTCAGAGAGAAACAGCTTTCACTTTAGAAATGACAACATACAGGAGGACAATTAACAAGTCGAGCTTTAAAGGAAACCAATGTCCTCTTTTCAACGTATCCAACCAACTTCAAGGCTTCGGTTGTTTGTTAAGGAAACAAAACAAAAACCAGCGAAACAAAAAAGAAACAAAAAGCACCTCCCCAAAGAACCCCCATATTAGAAAACGTAAGAGGGCAGCAATCGGAAACTCAGCAGTTCCGTCTCTCTGGCAGGTTATTTTGTTCTTGCCGGTTCCACAAATCTGAGGAATCTCCTTCCCCTGCGATCGCAGGCAGACCTTCTCCAACATAAATCCTCCACTCCCAGGTACTCAGGGTTCAGTGCACTTCCACTTGTTGCTTCTATCACGAACGCATATCTGAATTAACTCTGACAGCAGACCCTCATACTTAAGGGACAGGCTAATTACCGAGAACTTCGGACATTATGCTTAAAGCGAAACGAAATTAAATTAAAGACAATGACATGAAAATCACCCCACCTGTGGACTTCCATCAGAGAGGCGCAGGGCTCCGGGCCTGTCTCGGCTCCGTGGCTAGAGGGCTTGTCGCGGCGCAGGCGGGTCGCCAGCCTCCCCTGCAGCTATCGCGGGCAATCACGGTGTATCGTGGTACTGATATTCCCTCACAAGCCGATAACGAGCACTTAGCATTCACCCCTGGACGCGCGCCCCGCTCCTTCCCCCCCTGCAAGGGCCGCTCTCTGCCTCCCGGCCAGGTTTACCCGCTGCCCGCTCAGGCTCCTTTGTGCCCACAGCCCCGCGTCCCCTCGCCGCCATTTTATGCCCTCCTCGCCACCCGCCGCGGGGTTTCCCACCCTGCCGCCGCCTCACAACATGGGCCCGCGGGGCGGTGAGGGCAAACAAACAACGTCGCCTTTTTTGTTTGTTTGTTTGTTTGTTTGTTTGTTTTCTCCCTCCCCACCGCTTTCCCACCTCCATAATAATAATAAAAACCCAACCGTTGCAGCTCACCTGGGAGGGTGCCTCGCCACTCCTCGCCTCACCTCTCTGGAAGGTTCTGCAGCATGCAGGCAGGTGCGGCTGGAGCCGGCCATTAATGGCCGTGCGAGGCCCTGCGGAGCGCCGCATGGGGGAAGGAGCGTATAGATCCATACCTTGACAGCATACGCTTCGGGCAAGGCCATGCCGCGGGTGACACGCGTGACTCCCAGCAGGCCCTGATGAAACCTGAGGGGCTTTGCTGGCAGGACAGTGCGGTGCCGAAGTGTGTTTTGACAGTGACCTCAGGCATCGGCGGGAGATGGAGGGACAAGGCACCGGGCAGCGGCCGCTCGGCGGGAGCGGGAGTTTATCCCCTGGCGAGGCAACGTCCGAGGTCTGCGGCCAAGACCAACCGCCCCACAGGCGGGTTTGCTACCTACTGAGCAACCAAAATATTAAAAATTGCTAACATGTGGAATCTATTAGGACATTTAGGAGGAATTCACATTCATTGTTTCACTTGAAATATAAAGGTTATAAAACTTAATGGCCACATGACAAGGAAACTATATGAAACACTCGGAGATTTACAGAGCAACTGTTATACTCTTTAGGCATGTGGGCTGAAAATTGCTTTACAATAGGCAATGCAACCTGTGGTTTGAGCGCTGAGGTTTTCTGGCAGTTTTCTTTTTTCCTTTTTTTTTTTTTGACCTTGCAGACTGGTATTCAGTTACCACAGCAGCTCCAAAGTAAAACAGAAACACAGCTTGTATCTTCTTTCAAGTATTTATTTCTTTTGTCCTGTTAACATCAAATAATGAAAGGAATTGTAAGGATTTTGAAGGGGGGGTAAAAAGAATGAAAGCAGGAGAAAGGAAAAAAAATACCAACATAATGGCTTAATTTCTCACAGCATGTGCAGCGCAAATGAACAGTAAACACATACCACAGAAAAATGCAAACAAAAGCTATGTTTGCTAAAAGTTCCAAGGAAAAAAAAACATCTTGAGTGCCCCCAAGCAAACATTTCTGAGATTAAATCCTCAGAGCCTTTGCATTTCTAGGCCAATTTAACACAGCAGATACCTTCCCCCTTGCCCAAAACACCTCGGGAAGCTAGCAGGGAGGAGCCAAAGGGCCAGGTTTTCAAGCCTTGTTTTAAGGGATGGAAATGTTGCAATTACAGATTTGAGGGGATGCTGTAATCTAATCTAATGGGTCAAGTAGAAGTGCGAAAACCCCACTACAAATTTGCTACTAGGGTTTGTCTATACAGAGCAACATAGTTAAGTAAGCAACAGTTCACGGGCAAATACTATATTTTGCTGTGACTGTCAAATGTGGATCTCAGCAGTGGCAGATTTTGCCTCTGAACCGCAGGCAAGGAATTTACGATCTAGGCTGCTCATGTGAAGGCTTTAAGGTGACCCTAAGGGTTATACCATCAGTGCAATCGTATATTGCCTCGTTCTAGGACACCAGGCAAGACTACAATTCTCTGTTTCACCCTTGTGCTATGTATATAATAGAAATTGAGATGCTCTGGTAGGGCAAGGTTTGCAAAGGTGTATGTCAAAACACTATGCTTGCAGTTTTGATACAGGAATTTCAAATCTATACTCAGAGTGAAAAGGGAGAATATGAACATCAGGTGAACTGAATTATGCTCAGCAGCACACACAACCTATCTGATAATCCACCTGTGTTCTCAGCACATTCAGACATTCTGTTCTTTTTTCTACATCTGCTCACCTTCCAAATTTAAGCGGCATTACAACTTTATTCCACTTGTGTTTTATTTTCTTAAATGAACTAGGGGTGAGTATGCAGCAAAACATCACCAAAAATCATAATGCCATTCCCCTTGTGTGGAAATATGCCATGTCCTGATGTCAGGAGGTCACTTTCATATTAATTAATTAACTATATCCAGGATCAGCAGTGTGATTTTTTTTCCCCTCGCCATCTGAGGCTGAGAGGTGAATCCAGTGAAAGAAACAAAACCAAACTGTGAAAATTTTCTGCTATAAGTAAAGGCAAATGAACTGTTGACTGTATCCCAAGTTAGTTTTTTTCCCTTGAAAATGTCTATAAGCACGTTTTTGATCACAAGATTGGAATATGTCATGAGAACGCATTCAAGTATGCATTTGCATTAATATTGTTGCCAGAAGCCATCTCACAGTCATCATCAGACATACTGGAGCCCCTAGAAAGCTTTTTGTGGGATTGGAAGGCATCCAGCCTGGGGAAAGCAAAGCCATCATATGATTTGGATGCCCAGTTCGACAGGAAAACTATACATTAATGAATGGCAAGCACTCAAAGTGGTAGTTATGGTGAATAGCTTGCAAGCAAATCATTGGCTGAGAACTAGTAGGTATATAAAGTATTTGATAAATGAAAATTTGAAAGAAGTCTATTTAAAAACTAATCCATTGAAAGAAAACAGGCTAATTTTACAGCAAGAATTGCCTGTGACAAACAGTACTGCTAGCTGTAATGAAGATCACTAGAATATAAGTTGCTCATCCAGCCTTAAAGCACAGCCAACATGATATGTACTTTATACTGCAAAAGGACACTTTTAGGTATCATTAGAACAATGTTTTAATATTCCTGGATCGTAAATTATCAGAATAAATTAAACAGCAGTGTGAGGTACCCTGCAATTTAGGGCTTGCACCATATTTCCATTTTTTAGACAGATGGAAAGGGTGCATGTGCTTTACTGCATGTTTATTTTCTACCTCAGTGCTGATCTATGAATGACAGTTGATCTACAGTTCAACTATTTGTCCCAGAAAGTGGGGATGTTGCACCTAAACCTACCGTTTGCACTCTCTGGACTTTTCATACATATACTACCCATTTCGGCAAACTTTCCTTCTTTAATTTCTTGATTTTTAGCTTATGGTTCCCCCTTTTACCATAAAGTGGTCCTGGCCAACCACTACCTAACAGTCCTTCCCAGATCCAATTCAAAATCTGTAGGTGTTAAAAAGCATATGCAGTTATCAACTCATTAGGCAGAATCAATGCTAGCTCTCTGGGCTTTTGGTACACTCAGTCCTTTAAAGGAAGCTAATCTCGAAGATATTTAGGGCAATTTGCAGTGTTAATGTATACGAAGGTGTGGACACAGGCAGGAACAGGTGAGAGACTGCCTGAAGGGAAGGCGGCAGAGATGAATAATCTGCAGGCACAGCATTCTGGCTGTCAAAAAAACCTCTCAAAACACAGTCCTCTCCAACAGGAACAATTGGAAGAGACAGGCAAAATGATGAAAAATGAAGGGATCAGCAAAAATCAGACCTAATATAAACCCAACTAAAATAAACTCAGCATGGCTCCTGTAGCTCATTCAAAAGCACGTCTTCTCTGAGAGTTCATTTGCAAGAACTCAGTTCAGTGAAGAACGATAAAATATAACTTCCTCTATCGTGTGCTGTTAGGAGCCATTGGCAAATCTAACTGACAATATGAAGAACTTTTTAAAGGGATATACTGAAGATTGCAATGGTGTCTACCAGATTGCATCACAGGAGATGTGACATCTCCAGCCAGAAAGCATCAGTGCTCCTAAATACTGGGTTTAAGAGTCTGAAAGAATTCAAATTATTTTCTTAATTGATGTAGAGAATGAGGGCTGTGAGGAGTACTTGTTGGAATTAAAAATCAAATTATAGTTTTTACATTAGAAAACTTACAATTCTGCAATTTGTTTGAACAGAGGGGACGTGTATCAGGAAACCTATTTTTAAAACTGCAATGAAGATGCATTGTCTCTGTATGTCTAAAACAAAATGAGGTCAGAAGGCTCAATGCTATAACTCTGTAATGATGTAAGCAGAGCATTCTATTGAATGATTAAACATAGTTGTACATGACTTTTTTGGTTTTTAACATATGTAGCAACTTTTGCTGCAGGACATCAGGATTTTGTTGGTTTGTTTGTTTGTTTGTTTGTTTGTTTTTTTAAATTATTTTTCTGTGTCAGCATCAGATCCCTCCTAAAGAAAATCAACACTATATTTCATTTGATTAACATGCTTGTTAAACCTCAGCTATGCCAACAGGACAACAGAGAAGCTGAATGTGGTCTAGGGTTCAAAAGGATTATAATAGCTGAGGTGGGTGAAGGAGAGTTTTTTGCAATAGCGGACAGTTGAGAAACATGTTAAGATTGCTAACATTGAATATTCAAGAATATTATAATATTGACATTTACAGACTATTCAGCCACCAAAACACACACAATATGACTTGCTGGTGTCTTTCTCTCTTCTGTCTTTTGCATAGCCCTTAGAATAGTAACAAAACATTGCCCCGTTCTGCAAGTACTCTTCATTAATTTGCAGCACTGATGAGAGTCGTGAAGTGACCACAAGAAGGTATGTTATTGCTGGGGAAAAGAAAGCCAAGCAATAGCTCACAAAATGATTTGTGATTCTGCTTAATCCTATTGCTGATTTGAGTCAATTATATTTTTCCCACTTTATTTATTATTAACAAGGGGAAATGTGGCCTGAGACTTCAAGAAATCAGTTAGGAGATGCTGTGGCTTCTCTTTCTGGTAACTGAGAGTTTTCTCCTTTCTTTAAAGATGACACTGAATCAAAGAATTGCTTTGTTCTCTGATGGACGGACTTTTTTTTTTAAAAAAAAGCACTTATTTTGCTACATTCAACAGTTGAGAGCGCTGAAACAATGAGCTTGTCACCTCTGCCATTGCTTGCAATAGGCAAAGTTGCAGGGGGTATAATGACCATGCAAGTGAACCCACTTCCCCATGGCACATCTGCATGAAACTGGCATTCCCAGCAGGCTCCAGGAAGAGGAACTGGTTGTTTGCATATCACTTGTTTTCCACTATGGCCATCTCCACCTTCTGTTAACATTCTTCTGACATAAGCCCCTTTTTATTATAAACCCTTATTCCGTATGACAGCATTTTTCATATAGCTAAAATATTCCAGAAGCTGTATCACCCCTGCATTTTATTCAGTCCTTTCTCCACATAAAAGCACCAAGAGTTGACTTTCTTGGAAAAGGTAGCAATTAATTGCCTCCTAATGTTAATACTGTAATGTGCCAGAGCAGGATCTGGGAACAGTCATCAGATCAATAGCAATGCCCAAAGCAGAAGCAGCATCTGATGGCTATGCTCCAAAGAGCCTAATGCTAAAAAAGGAAGGTGAAGAAGCGTTTCAGTTAATGTACTCACAATGCCCAGTGTTTGCACATGGTGGTTCAAGGGAAGGAACCAGTCAGGGGTCAAAGCTGAGGCAGGACTTGTGGCGTCACATAGGCTACTCTCAGGCACCTAAGGGCAACTAGAGACCTCACTGCAGTACTTGTTTTTGTGCTGGCTATCACGTGTCATCTCATTCTTTAATCTATTTTTTTCAAAAGCATCTCGAGGGACCAGAAGTTTAAATCAATTTGGTCAGTGATTATAGGTACCACAGCTTTCCATGCAGTCTTCCTCTGTACTACTGCACCGTAATAGTGATTTGCCCAGGTGACCAATGTCGGCAGCAAACTGCCTCAGAAGACACACAGGAAGTCAATTTTGGAAGCCAGGGTCCTTTTCAAACAGAAGCCATGAGGCTTCTGAGATGTCTAGATTTAAGGCACTGATATTCCAACATTGCTTAGAGAAGATGTCAAACAGCAACTTTTCACCTTTGTATTCTTTTCATTATCATTTGATTAACATAGACAGGGAAATTTCATGCCTAGGAAGCCTGTCTGTGAAAAGCCTGTACAAAACAGAGGCAGCTCTTTCAGATAAATAAAATTGCCTAAGAAAAAACTAGGAAACTGAACCATGTCTACCAAGTAGCACTAGGTCAGGATGATTACGAACACAAGCCAGAGAACCACATGTCCTTGTAGTACCTAGGAATGATAAATGACCTTTGCAGCTGGCTAGGAAAAAGTGAGTGGTGAGTCAAACTGACCCTTCTTTGTTTTTACATGTATGGGTCGCTTTCCCTTTCTCAAAAAAAACAAGAGAGCAAGCAGTAACTGGCATAATAGGGTGTTCCCAGCCAGCAAGCTACAATGTTAATGGACTGCTTTTTAGGGCATGGTGACCCATAGGAATGAGCAGCAGTAACAACATGCTTCTTTTATAGACTTTGCATTTGGATGGAACTCACGTGCCTCTATTATTATATAACTTCAGGAATACAAGGTGGCATCTCGCCTGTCTGTTTAGAGCACTCCCCCTGAGATTGCACCTCTCCTTCGTTTTCTCATCTACTTACTCTTCAGTCACTCTCAAGCTCAAATTAGAGTGCTTGCTTCTCTCATTTAAGGGAAACTGTTGTTTTCTAGATTTATGCAGAAAAGTCAGCATATACATTTGCCTTGATATGTCACAATGCCCATAGCAAAGGTGAGCATAAGGAACCAATAAGCTTGGACTCTTTGGGAAGGTGTGAAGATATAAATTGTCTCCTCAGAGGTCTATGCATTTCAGCTGTATCCACTCCACACAGGCTGGGTCAGTTTGTGTTTCTGCTAAAGTGTCAGCTTGGGGGATCCGTTACAGAAACAAAAGAGGGTGTTATGTTTCAAGACAAGATGACAGGAGCAGGGGGAACTCACTACCTTCTATGGTACTGGCAGCATTCAAGTTGTGTCCTGTGTCCTCCATCTGTCGTCTATAGGCTGGGGTACCTCAGCCCCATCAAAACAAAGTCTGGTCTTCTTTCTAACACGTTACCTTGCTGATCTGACTTTCCTCAAGAATACAGAAAGGGTTGTTTCTGTTGAAGCTGTCAGCTCCTTGAAGGTATTGAAAAAAGGTACTGAGGCAATCCTAGCAGAATAGAGGGTGGTAAGAGGGGCAGTTTATCAGTTAGAAAAGTGACTGAGTTGCCAGCTTCCCAGAGGAAACACTGGATAAAAGAGAATGAGTAGCAGAGAGAAGGTGAAGTTCTGTTTTTCTTCACATCTTTCGCCAAGTTAGTTGCTGAAATCTGCAAGAGGTGTCTGCCACTATTCACATCACGAAATCTCTTCCAGAAAAGCACTCTAACAAAACAGAGGATCCTCTTCACTAGATGTCTTGGTTCTCCCTTCACCCCTCTAATCCCTCCCCCATTCCCAGGTGGGGAGGGGGAAGGGAGGGTGATTAGCTGCGGGGGTTGGTTGCCGATCAGGCCCAAACCACAACACTAGAAAATGTAACTGCTGCTTGTGAGTGCCAGGTTTCACTCAGTCTCCAAACTCCAGCAGCCTGAGAAGCAATACCAGCTTGAAGGATTTTAGCAGCTGAAGGATCTGAGAGCTACAAAGACAGCGCAGCATATTCTGATTCTCAAAGTTGCTGGTTATTTGGTGAAAAATGCAAAACATTACATTTGACATAATCTTGCTTTACCTCCAAATTTATGAACAAGTGCTGTCAAATAAGTGGCTGTCACCCAGGTTAAGTTTATTAAAGCCACATGAAGAAGTCAAAACAAAATAGATGATCTAAGGTCATCCTGTATTCTTTTCCTCAATAGTTGCATTTCAGCTAGAGGAAAATACTAGGCCAAATTAATGTCTGCTACAAACAGATGTGATCTCTTTGAAATAAATGCACCCACTTATGCTCTGCCTGCATTAAGTCTGTTACCAGGTTTTTATGAGATTTGGCAAGTTCACTGCTATCTGTTAATATCTGAAGGTGGGAGTGTTCAGGGAGTTGTCTGAAAGGCTTGCAAGACTAGATCTGATCATACCCACCCACACTAATTAACACATTACATAAAAGTACAAGTTTCTCTTTGCAAACATCAGAACCACTTGCCCAGGCACTTTCTGTGAGGTTCTAGAAGAACTATAAGGGCTGGACTCTGTCAGTTTTTAACCTCAACAAAACAATGGATAAGTAGATAGGTAGGGTATAGTTCCCACTTCCAGGGCTCACTCCTGTTTTCTTCATCCTGCTAAAAACATGCCATCAACAAGGATATGGCTGGAAGGACCTGTTTAAAGTTCAGCAAGGGTACACGAGAGAATGCGATTCTTTTTTCTCATCAAAAACAAAATACAAAATCAAATACTGAACAAGAAAAATCAAATTTACTTATAAATGACTCCTCCTCTCCCTGCCCTGCCACGCTAATTTTGAAAATTACTTTGTATAAACACCAGCCTCTCAAAACACCTCGAACTGAAAAATCCTCTCTTTTAAATAGGATCTTTTTATGCCAGGAAAACATATGCCCCAAACCAGCTAACATTTCTCTGTCATTCAAATTTTAGAACAGCAGCAATCTCCTGTATAAGAACGATATTAAGGGGTCTTCTGCTTTTTCACAGATTGGAGCAAGTAAAGCTAATTTCATATGAAACTTCTGTGACCTGCTCCTACAGCCTCACCTAGGTTCCGCCAGCAGGATAATATATACCCCGATTTCAATTTACTCCAGACTCTTTGTATGACATCTGGCTTCAAGATGGTGGCACTGAAAAGTGCAGTAATGACATAGAAAAACAGAAGGAAAAAAAAATAATTGTGCAGTGGAAAGCAGGAGGCAGTGGAGAGAGCAGGGAAAACCAAAATTAAAATAAGTCAAAAGGGCGGAAATTCCTTTGAGAAGGCCTTAGGCTTCAACAAAGCTTGTCAACATTTGCAGCACTTCAAGATTACCCAATACTAACCTTATGTGAAAAGGGACAGTAGACCTCAGCAGGCATTCCAGAGGAGCCTTTCTATTAAAAAAGAAGTCTTCAAAAGTATTCCATCCAAATTTGCAAGTAGCTCACTGAATGGAGAGCATTCTAGCTCGAAACCCTTATAAGAGAAGAAACTCTCTTACCCAACTCTTCCTTACTATCTGAAAAGCAAAGTCAATGTTTTCCTCATTTTCTGTTTGCTGCATACCTCTCCCCCACTGTGACTGCTATTTGACCTGCTGTCCGCTCAGGGACCCTGAGGGAAAGAGAGAGGGAAGTTTGTGTGTGTGTATGAGAGGAGTGAGATGATGAGAGTCTCAGCTACATTTTGATTTGTTTATATTCATTAGAAAGAAATCAACAGCACTTAGTCTGTAAGACAACCTCTGAAGATAGGGAACATCTTTTATGCAGTGCAGGAAAAGAGCAGATTCATCTAAGGGACAGGATCTGGGGATAAGCGGAGACTTAATTTCAATGTGTGTACTAGTTTTTACCTCACTTTTGCATTAGGGTGTTATCAATGAATAGAATCTCGGCATAAAGGTTTAATTTAAAGGGGACACTGCGGGGTGCCCTCTTTCACCAATTCTGTTTGCTCTTGCATCTACAAGCATGGCATGTCTGACTGTGATTAATGAGAAACTAAAAAGGATTAGAGGCCATAAGGGGAGGTATGTATAATCATCCCTTCCCCTCCCAAGCATCTCTTGATAAATATGGTACCTTCAGTATTCCTGGCAGATCCTGGAAGGGTTCTCCCCTCATTGCACTTGTGTTTTCAATGAACTGGGTTTCTTCTCAAAAAATTGACAAAAAATAAAGCTGAAAGCCTCTATTAGGGTGGGCGTCAAAACCACAGAGATCAAAGTTTCTTTTCATCCTCTCCAGAGAGCCTCAGACATCTAGGAATTCAAAACAAAACTCCATTGTAAGAAACCTTTTCACAGCTGGCACAGTGCTACAGCTTATATATTGTGCACTCAGGAGCAAAGCACTGACCCAGACAGGACAGGTCCTCAGAATACCCATGTGGGCAGAGGGGTCTGCGTCAATGGCGCTTTTGGCAATATCGTCCTCCTGAACTGGTCAAGAAGAAATATATCTACTGATTTGCCAGGTTCAGACCTTCGGATTTTAACATTCACATCATTGCACCTAAGTAGTTGGTCTCCATTCTACATGGCAGAACCAAAGGAATATTTCAAATACAGCTCACAGCTTTTCTACTGTAATTCAGATCTCTTTTAGGAAATTATATATTTCAGTATATGGGTTCTTTCCTCTTCTGAATTTTTGTATAGAACCTTTTGGTTTATGAAAAAATACTACTTTTCCATTCTACAGCGTGTTCCATTTGAATTTGCTGAGCTTTAGACAAACAATTAGGTAGTCAGATTTACAACTTTTGAGGTAGGGAAACACTAGAAATCTCTACTTTGCAGGTCAGGGTGCTCCTTGAAATTATGCAGTTTGCCCCAGGTCACACAAGACATCTATGGAAAAGCTCAAAATTCAAGTCAGAACCTCTAAATTCACTCCTTTACTTTAACCACGTGGCCTTCCTTGAGGTGCTTCATTCAGGTGTTCTCCAGTTAGGCTTGCCACTTTCCTTTATTGCAATTATATTAATTCCTCTTTTAGTAGTGTTCCAATATGTTTCAACTACATTGCTATGCCTAGTGCTGCACACTGCATCTGGCATGGGAATGCTCTGTTGCTCTTACTAGGCTGTCAAAGAGAATATATCATTACAAAAATAAATAATGTCTAGCTGCTTCTGGCATTTCAGTCCAAGCAGTATTTATCACTTTTGGCCCATCAGTGCCTGATTCAATGCCCCTAAAAAACAATGGGTATATTCCCAGTTGAATTCAACGTGCATTTAATCAGGTCTTTGCTAACTGTGCTTCCAAACTTCATGTTTCATGACCACTACAGTACTGTTTCTTCTATTTTTAGAGCATTATTTCACTTACTTCACTGTGCAGATTGATACAAAGGATTTTCCTCTGCAAGGATTATGTCAGTGAATGTGTGTTTGTACAAGCAGGCTCTAGTTTTAGTTCTAGATTTAGTTCATTCCCAATGTGATGCTGCCTACATGTGTAGCAATCTGGGATTAATGCTAAAAATATATATATATTTTATGATAAGTGAATAAAAATATTCAGAAAGACAATTAAATTTCATATATGAGTTCAGTGACAGGAAGGATCTTCCACTATTCAAACTGTCTGCTCTTCTGACTGAGCACTGCTCTCTGGCCTTCAGAGGTGAAGACAGCTTTCTTGGGCCCAGCACAGTCCTTCCAGACAGAAGTCCTGGGTGGCCTTTAACAAAGAAAACATTGCTCCACAGTTTGCTTCTTCCCTGATGTGAGTTGGGAACAGCTTCATCAAGGGATGTAAAGTGAAGAAAGGGAAGGAAGCTTCTATTAAATGTCCATAACTTTTAGTTCTTCAAAGTATTTTTTAAGTTCTCCATTTGAAAAGCTGAAATGAAACCAGTAGCAGTTTGTAATTTCAGTTCCTCAGAAGAGGGGGGATAAAGTATGTATGGGGTGTGATGTGCTGCCTCTCAGCTGAGACAGCCTACAGACACTTTAGAAACAAAAATTACATCTTAAAACTATGAGTAGATTTAACAATTGAACTCTAAAGAATTAAACATCATATAAACATTTCACGCTTTTTGTTTTTCTTTCCAAGGGTCCATAGTCTAGTCCTTCAATCCTGTGCAAAGGTCATGTTACTATGGATATGACCTGCAAGAAATGTGTTGCCTCAGAGCAGCGCAAGTCACATGAACAGGCTGAAAGCCAAGCCTGCTGATTCACAGTCTTGTCAGGATTTTCATGCTTGTGTTGGTTTCACTGAAGAATAGTCCTTGTACCATCAAGTCTATGTTCGTCCTTTAAAAGTGTTCATGCAGGTGTAGCTCCCAGAAAACTTGTGGATTTCTTCAAGTGCTGCCTGAGGGAGAATGCTGCAGGAAAAGCAGAAAGAAAATAAGCAGACCAGACAAACTTCTTACTAAACTCTAATAGAAAGATGTGTAAATATGTGTTTGTGTATACAGATATAAGTATACATATATTCTCAAAAATCAGCTAGTGAGAGCACACAGGCAAAATTTGTGTCAGTAACCTGCGGTGAGTAAGTCTGAAGGGAGAAAGTTATAGCAAGCTGCTCTTTCTCTACAGAAATAGTTACCCAAAAAAGTCTGTGCAAACCGTAACTTGGAAGATACCATCGTGTTTTATTCTTCCTAAATATTGTGCAGAGTCTTGTACTCTGAAATACACACATTTAAACTGAGTTCTCTGGTTAATTTGCCATCTAATTGTGCTAGGCATGCAGCCTCCTTACCGTAAGGTATGAATATAGATCTAATTCCCTGACAGCTACTCTAGTGGAAAATAAATTATTAATTCTTACAATAAAGGAGAAGGAGAACAGCTCTTTTTCAGTCTGTAAAATTTCTGGGAACTTTTGAGAGTATCCCAAATTTAACATTCAGATCAAAGTGTTTGTTGTGAATTATTTTTTCTTGTTTGAAATGCAATACTGTAATTATTTTCCACAGAAATCTCATGGCCTTGTTTCAGTTCTTGACTGAAATAGGTTTTCCAAAGGCTTCAGTGCAAACTCTCATGGAAACACAATTTTAAATGTTCTTTCCCTTTAGCTGTTTCAGAATACGAAGTTATGACTTACTTTCCTTAGGGACTTTAAAATTCCTGTCCTAATCATACACAAAAATATTTTTTTAATAGTTTTGTTGCTTTAACACAAGCAATGCTCTCTAAATACAGCTGTGATGTACATACCTCATAGTACAGAAATCCTTTACAATATAAAGCCTGGACTGCAAAGGGTGGCTTACTAAATAAAAATCACCTACGTGCATATGTTAATTAAGAAATTTCCTAGATACAAATACCAGTTCAGACCTCAGGAATTCATAATTTGGGAGTGAAACTGGCTTCATAACAGGGTTATGCTCAGAGAAAACATCTACAAAGGGAATCTCAGAAAGTTTTCTCCCTTTTGCTTCTATGATCGTCTTCCACGGGAAGGGATGCACCAACCTGATCCTGGATATTGGGTTACAGTCAAACTGTGGCTTGCCTTGATGGAAGGTGCAGAGCACTGTAAGCCAGTCTTGCTTAACTGGCTAGGCTATTGCTGAGCAAAGGAAATATTTACCTTTTTAGGATGACAAGAACATGCATTGTCCACGGAAGGAGCAGGAAGGCTTGATTCATCTGAACAGCTTCTACTGTCCTCCTAGCCACTGTCTCTGGCTTGAGAGGAGGAAAAAGATTAGGGAACCTGAATAAATAAAGTAAAAAATAAAATAATTATTTATTAACAAAACTCCTTCTTTATGATACCACTGTCCAAGTCCTGTTACTCACTAAGCTATCACTGGTTATTGGCATTCAAACATGCCCCAAAGCAGGCTAGAAGGAGCAGAAAGCCCAGTTCTAACCAGTACTACTGGGTTAGCTAAATGGTTAAGAATGTACATGTTGATGCCTTTAGGGGAAAGTGGCAGAGTGTATTCAGAACCTTGATTTAGGGATTTTCTTAAACTGTATGTAAACCAATACCAAAATGTTGTCTTTTCAGTGTTGGTATTTTTCTTCTTTGTTGCTCTTTGCTCAATTCAAATTCTTGACAGGTGAAAGACAAATATTTTGCCCATTGCTTTTAATACCAAACATAAGGCTTTTACTAGCTCCAGCAATAGCTTAACACTGCATATTTTCTTGACTAAAAGAGCACAAACTATATTAATAGGTTATTTTGTCCATTGTAAAAGATTAATTTGGTCAGCTGTTACTCTTTGAATTTAGCTTGTTCTCTTAGAGGTAAAAAGGAGTTACTGATAGCCTTAATTCAGTAAGCGGCTGTCATTCCTTTCAGTGGGAAAGAATTAAGTATTTCAATGAATAAAGAGAGAATTTGTACTGTTAATTCCCAAGTAATTTGTAGAGTGCTCCTTTTGAATGCCCTGAATTTTCAGATTGCCTTCCCTCCCTCTCTGGTGGCTGCATATGGCCTAAATACACTCAGGGAAAAATAGCTTTCAGTTTGCTCTGTAGGAACAAATGTCTCACTCAGTACAGGCAGGCTGCATGAATATGCCAGCAAACTGAGGGAACCAGCCTGATGAGTCCCAGGTGGCCTAGAGTGACCCTCTGTTCCCAGGCAGCCAAATGAGACATCAAATTCTCTTAACTAAATGAAGCATTAATTAGGAGTGTATTCTGATGATTCATTTAAAATGAGATGCTTTATTCTAGTTCCCCTGCACTGACCTGATTCTCATGCCCTGAAACATCTCAGTGCTCGTGTGGAAGGGCAGGACTGTTGTGGCATTCACTCCAGGACAGTCTAGCAGCCCCAAGGTCAGGCTTTCCATAAAGGCAAAGGACGAGGCTTTGGAGGTGCAGTAGTCAATGGCACCAGGGATGGCTGACAAGGCCAGGACAGAGTTCAGGCAAACAATGTGTCCATTCTGCAACTCCAGCATCCTTGGCAGGAATGCTTTGGTGGTCTGAAGAACAACAGAGTTTAAAAAAAAAAAAAAGTTTGCTCAGCAGAGATACAACAAAAACAATAGTTACTGAAAAAAATAAGGTAACGCGGAGACAAGAAGCCAAGCTGTTCATTATGCTAGGAAAGGAGCGGGAGAGCACCTCGTTGCTTTGTCATTTTCTGAAAGATTCTAAACAGGCAAAGTTTGTACAGGAACAAAACAAAATCTTTCCTAGCACATAAGCAAGCAGTACCCACAGATAAAGGCCATGAACAGAATGCTTTGTAAGTTTAAGAATTTGTAGAGGACAGTCTTCAATATGATGAAATAACAAGAAGCTCTTTTTTTATTACTATTATCTAATTCAAAATGGAAGGAGTTTCACACTAGCCTCCTTCCCTGAGCAATCTAGTTGCATGCTCCTCTGATGTTCCATACACATCACTGTACTGAAAACTACCCTCTGTGAGCTCAGGCTTTCTCAAAAGAAATCAAACGTTTTACTGCAAATCACAGAATGGGGATCCAAGAGCATCAAATACTGGGTTACTACTGGAAAAGTGAAATTTTTTTAGGCTTCTTTCCTCTGGTCTTTGCCCCTCACATTGTTTTTCTTGTTTCCTTCTCATGTTCAGACTGATTTTACCAAGCATCATTTAGAAAGACCTAGTAGCAGCCAAGCTTTTACTGGCTGTAATCTGTCACTCTCATTCCCAGTTCTGAATACATGTGATACAAGAGCTTATCTTACCCAGAACTGTCCCAGGGTGTTTATATGTTGTGATTTGAGCAGTGCATCGTCATCGCTGTCCATCAGGCTCTTACCATGGACCACAGCAGCATTGTTCACCAGGATAGTTATATCACCCACCTGCAAAAAAAGCAAATGACTTGTTACAACTAGTATCTCTCCTCACAAAGCAGTCACCATTATATGTGAATATCTACTATTGTCTAAATACATTACTATTTCATAGCTTTTGACATTCTTGCCCATAGGCCTTGTAATCACTTAAAACAGGTAGCTAGACTTTGTACAACATAATCTGGATGGTCACTCTTCTCTCTTCCCAATTTGCCAATAAATTTTTTTCCTCACCAAATAGGAGCCATTACTAAATTTTGCCCACAAACAGTGTTTCCACAGAGACTAACCTTTTCCCGCACAGCTTTGGCTTGCCGATACACCTCCTCTCGATTTCCTACATCACAAATGAAATAATGGCATTCTGTCCCCATCATCCTGATTTCCTCTGTGGTCTCCTTCAGGCATTTCTCAGTTCGACCCCACAGGATGATCTGCAGCAAGAAACTTTTGTTAGAGTCAAAGTACTTCTGCTTCAAATCTAAAATAATTAAAACATGCTTCTAACTTCAACAGTTTGATGAATATCTTTGATGTGTTTTCACTGCCAGCCCTGTTGCATTGTTTCATTTGAGACTAACAATGATTTTCTAGTACATGGGGATGGGACTCGAGTATCACAGTGGTAGCTGTATCCCACTGCTGCTAACTCTATTTACAGGTTCTTTATAAGCAACACAATATCTAACACAAAAAAAATCAGATCTTTAACCTAACATGACAAATAAATGAAACACCTGGCAAATCTATCCCTGCTTTTGCTATACACACACAAAGACAGATCAATTTATTCTAAAATCACAGACCCTCTTGTATATTTAGTGTGTATCTACTTTTTGTTCTACATTTGGAGATGGTATCTGCTCTCCAGTAAAACCTATTTGTTCACCATATCATATGTAACTATTTTAAATACTGTTTGCAGGCTGGTGGTGTAGCTGCATTTTGAACAAGAGGTTCATCCTAATACAGACATTTGACATGAGAAATTTCAAGCATGAATTTATTCTGCAACTAATATATGCAAGATTTCACTTGCTGCTCCCATTTAACACAGTAAAAATGATACAATACTTATTGTACAAAGAACGATTCTGAATATCCATGGAAACAAGACATTCAAATCATATGGCATGGATTTGATATATCATGAAGACATAACCAGCACAACCCTATCTGTATTTCTACACCACCATGGAAGTCAGAAATATAACTACCTTGAAAAGTTACCAGGTTCATTAACTTTCATCATGGGGCTTCATCGAACAGTATTAGTCTCAAGTACGGCATGGTGCTTCCACCACCGTCTTTCAAACACTAATCTACAGCTAAACAGATTTAATCAAAATATTTTTTTTCCTATAGCCTTATTTTCTATTTCTTTTAAGGCTACTGGAAGGAATATAATTTCATCTGTTACCTAAGTCATCTATATATGAATCAATCTATCCTTTTTGCTCTTCAAGCTAAGCCTTCTCAGCATGCATTGTGTTATGAATGGTGAGTCACTTGTCATTCTGCAAAAACATAAGTTACTGAATGGAGTATGTTACTGAAATCAGGTGACTGCTCTGTGAGTCAAACAGCAAGATCTGAAGGAGAAAGAAGAAAAGGTTGCTACTACTCACCATTGCAATTGTGAGCACTGGTACTGCAAAATTACTATTTGGGACTGAAAAATAAACTAGGACATTCACATAGTTAAATGCAAGTTTACTCTCATCAGGGAACTGGGAAAATGGGCTTTGAAAATGGAAACAGCTTTGTTCCTCTCAGATCCGTGCTATTTCCAAGCAGTGGCCTTATCACCTGTGATCCAAGATTACAGTTGCTTCCCATACCACTGTGTATTGAGCACGAATCTGACTGGTATACTAATTTTTGGATGGTTAAAAATAAGCACACTTAAACTTTAAAGATTTAATAATCTTTGAGTTTTCCAAAAGTTGAAAGCACAGGGGGAAAAAGTCTAAATTAGATCACTGCTTATAACTCAATCCCTGAAATTAACTTAATAACAGCAAGATAAACATAAAAAATTAAGAGCTGCAGTATTCCCTCCCCACAACAAATCCTTGCAGAGAGCTTTAACGTGCTTATTTTTAAGGACTAGTTAATCTTATCTCATAACTGGTACTAAAACTAATCTCTAGCAGGGTCAAAGAGCTCTTCCAGTGTGACGAAGCAAGGTTAAAATCCAGAAGTACTTGCATCCTCAACCATTTCCTAAATGAGTTAAATTTACATTTAATCCCATTTATAAGTCAGTGGCACATCTGTGAACATACACACACCCAGACCGATGGACTTATATTCTCAAAATCATCAAAGGACTCACAAGTTGATTAACCAGAAACTTCAGAGCATGTATAAATGTCAGAACCATTTCATGGGAAATTCTATCTCAGGGGAAGTAATCTTCAAGGAAAGAGCTGTGACCAGACTTAAAAACTGTAAGAAAGCATATGGCTAAAGATTTGGCTTCTGTACTGGCCTGTCTTCGAAAGTCTCAGCATATCACCCATGGCCATCAGGCTCTGGCACATACACAAAGCTTGTAAAACTGGTGGCTATTTATTCACTGAACTCAGAGCTAGACTGGGTGATATTTCTTATGTCTACTCTGCAGACTTGAAGGGAAATCAAGAACTTGAAAAATTTCACAAGCTTCCAGGAAATATTTACAAAATACTGTTCAAATATAAGCACACACGTTTACTTGCTCTCTCTTTCACAAGCTGCATCTCTGTGGAAAGGGGATTAAAAAAACCACTACAAAACATCAACTGTAAGCATCAAGTTTGATGCCCACAGAGTTTGCATCAGTGTGATCTTCAACCTATTAGCTGGATTGAATCAGTCAAATGCAGACACTGAAATATTAACAAGTTGAAGAGTGATGGAAGGTAGGAGAGGAAGAGGAGAGAAAGAGAAAATAAGGTGTCAGACAAGGGGAGTAAGGCAAGAAACTGAGCTCACATACCCAGCACTCCAGGGTTTCACACTGCTATTGCAAAATAAAACGTAGATCCCTCACTCTGCACTTTAATCTGTTTCAAACATCCATACAGCCTCCTATTCCCAAGAGCTGCCACTGATGCACTGAATATCAGGAAATATATATGGAAGAATAGTTAAGCAAAGGACGACCTGTCAAAGGAACATCTGTCTGTGATGTAACTCTTGCACATAGCATTTTTTATGCCCCAACAGTTACTTTGGGACCTTTAATATCCTACAGGGAAGTCTTGCAAGGTGACCCCATTGAAACCTGGGCCATCTGGGGAAGACAGAATTTGCTGGTTATCCTGCTGTCAGCATTAAAGTCAGTACTGATTTTTTTTCCATGGGAAGTTTTTGTGTCCTTGATACTGTTCACACTCAGGTGAAGGCTTCAGCCTGCGTAAGAGAAAAGCAGTAAATAAAAGACCATTCTTTCATGAGAGGTGAAAGTTCCCTAATGACACAGTGGGAAGTGAGGTTTCCTGCCGTTATTTCTGCTACTTTTTACAGGTGGATAAAACTCAAAACTCAATACAACATGCTTGTGGTCCAAATTCAAGCCTGACTGCTCCTACAAGATCATATGAGACTTTCAATTTCTCTCTTACATCTGGCCAAATTAAACTGGCACAGGCTTCCCTCTGGCCTCCTAGGATACCAGGTCTTACAAAGAGACAAGACTTCTAGTTGCTGCATGAGCCTCACAGTTGAGGCTTCTGTAGCGCCTGAACTCTATCTTACAGAGGCTCAGTGTTGCTGTGTAAGCAATACTTCTCTCTTCATGCTTGCAGTAGTTTCACCAATGGTGTTCTAGATCCTTACTCTACTATTGCCTCTTGAGATTTTCTACAAACGTACTCATCAGTCTACTGATGTCCTGATTTCACCTCCTTTTGCAAAAGCTGCAATTTGACAATTTGCTGCTTGGCATTCATAAGGTTGTGTTACTTGTAACATTCTCACTAAACAATTCAACTAGACAGCTTAAATCAGGGATAATCATGAATCTCCTCAAATCTCCTGAACAAAAACTTTTGCTCACTCTGGAACTGGTGAACGATTGTGGGCCAGGGCCTGTGTTGTGCTGATGTCCTGTAAACTCCTCCAGTTAGCCAAAAGCTGTACAGTTGACACTTCCCTTTATACACAAGCAAGCACGTAAGGAACTCTCATTTTACTCTTTGTTCAGCCAACATCAAAAAAGGCATAATGTAGCTTTATCCCACCCTAGTTAGGCTTTGAGGGCTCTGCATTTTTAAGGAGTGTAGACCTGCAGTTTAAGAAGTGGTCCATTTTATTAGGAAGCACAATTTTCAAAATGTATGCAGTTCTGAGTCTGGTCTGCATCCCCTTTCCTTTTTAAGTTTAATTCTAAATTGGCACTAAGTGTGTCCCAACTGGAGGCTAAGTCCTGGAGAGAATGACTCTTGCAGACACAGAAGTTCCTGTCTGGGACAGAAGAAAATGCAGAGGAATAAAGGAGAAGAGAGACATGGTGTTCCTTATTACACAGCCTGTCAGGATGTTGCACAGCCACCCATTCATGGTAATTTAATGGTGGATAGAGGAATATTTAATTTGTGTTTCAGATAAGTTCTTGGACAGACAGTTTTCCGTCCTGGAAAGAATCCAGGCCCTGTTTCTTCTCCCCCTTCATCTCTCATCATCCTCTCCTGCCCCTCCCGACAGCACTAGACACGCTCTCCTTTCAAAAAGTTACTGACCAGAAAATTGCCGAGGGCAGTGGCCCAGCGAGGCGGTTAATCCCCGCTGGGCCAGGCCGCTCCTGGAGGCTTCCTGCCCCGTGGTTACCTCTGGGTGACCCCGGTGGTTGGCAGCCAGGAGGCAGGTGGAATGTTATAGCAATTGCTTGTGCTCCAGCCTGCTGGCGAGAGGCGACGGGAGCCCAGCAGCGGCAGGGCAGGACTCTTCCTACCAGGGGCCATAGGAAGGAGTGGATTTATGCTGACAGAGGAACTCAACACACCCCGCTCTTAATTAACTTTAAAGTAGGCAAGGGCTGTGACATCACAGTTTAGTGCAGATTTTCCCAGGAGTTATTCATGAGCAGATTTTTGCAAAACAACCCTTATCTCTACATCTTCTCCCCTCTGGCAAGTCACACAACCCCTTATCTGGCCTTAGGAAAATCTTTTCAGCTAGAGTGGCGGGCTCAGTAGACACTGCATCCACCGCTCCCAGAGGACTCTTTAACTCTGGACTTAAACTGCTAATGAGACATGACCCGAGGTCGGAGGGGAGTCAAAAGAAAGGTTTTAGCTGCTGTTGTACTAAGGCAGTATTTTCTAATAGAGGCCTGTGCTGGCTACTTGCCAAAAGCCCCAAACCTGACTGCAGGTTTAAATCCTGATTTTCACCGTAACTTGAGTAAGAGTTATGCTTTTGACTGCCACAAAATCAGATAAAGCCA